GCCACGTCATTAGTGGGGGCAGCGCAGTACTACTTTGCCCAGGAGAGCAAAGACCTAGCGGAGGGGTATTGTAACGGGCTAGGTAGCCCGCTACAGTACAGATAGCGGTGGCTATCTTATGTATCAACTACGCAACGATATCAGCAGCTCTGATATCTTGTGCCAGCCTTTTTGGCGCGGTGGGCGCGTTGTAGTTGCGTGCGCAGTCTAATAGGACTCGACCCGTTACAACGTTATAGCTATAAATACTAAGATCACTAGCAATATTAGCATAGCTCTTTTCTCTTTTATACCTATTATAGTATATATTCTTAAGAGTAGGGTTATATATTTCTTTTTATTTATAAAGGCAGCCTACGCGTAGAGCATGTTTAAAGTACTATAGAAGGATCTTAATTAGGCGTGCTTTAGGCTTAAAGCCTTGCTACTAGGCTCTACTATAAACTAAGTTAATTATACGTAGCAATATACTCATTATTTCTATAATTTTACGTGTAGATTTGCTACTAAAAGGTAACTTTAATATAATAATAAAAGAGAAGTTAATATATCTATATTTAGAGCTATAGTAGGTTAAAAATACTTCAAAAAATAAGTATATAAGCTATTGCTAGCTTTAAAAAATTAGTGTAGGCGCTAAGAATAGTTAGGCCGATAGGCTGGCGGCTTAGCGTGGCGCTAGCAAGAACTTTTGACAGTCACCTCCGTATATTCATAGGGCTTACTATCTCACTATCCTACATGCTAATACATGAAATATATGTAAGCTTACAACTCGCATGTGTGTATAAGTATATATACAAAGAGCATTGCCCACTCTCTTGGTTTACTTCTAATCCTGTTGCTGTAGTGTATACTAAACATTGCTTGCGCTAGACCTACAATTCATTATGCGTGCTGTTCTCTTCTCATCCGTATTTGCTCTTCTGAGCTCCCAAGCGCTCGCATGTATTCGGACTGGCGACATCGGGACATTGCCGCCGACTTCTGGCACCTGCTGTAGCGGTTGCTCTTGGAATTCTTATTGCAAAAAGCAGAGTAACGTACGTGACTACTTTTTGAAGCTTATTCTCTTGACGTTCACGTCTGACTATATTAGGGGACATGGAAGATTATATACTATTGTCCATATTCATCAGATGGCGGTAACCACTGCGCGATCGTAAACCCTCAGCAGCCTTGCCCGGTTTAGGCTCAGACAATGATATGATGATGAAGCTATAGGGGCGTCAGTAAGACTGGTAATATACGTCTGAAGTAGCTGTACAGAGGTCACAGCCAGGAGCATAGATTCTCAATAAGAAAATTAACACGATGTCATATGCCTTTGCCTCATGGTCGTCTCACTGAGCAATCTCGTCCCTGTTGGACCACCTAATCGCCAATCTTCTACTTTCTTTTCCGAAACCATCCGAAGTGTATTCTTGATCCACTCCAGAGGAATATCTTAATTCTCCAACTTAAGGGTCGGATCCTATAGCCGCTCAATACGAGAAATCCATTTATTTTTTATTTTTTCAAATATTGCTTATCGGGCCTCTGCGGGTTTAGGCCAGTGCTTATGCTTTATTTTATTATTTTATGAGTGATTCTGACGTGCTGACGCAGCGGCTAGCCCCCTAGGGTAAGCTACATAGTTGAGCTCTGATGCCGTATTACCCGTAGATAAGAACAAGTTTTTGGTGGCTCGACACATATTCCACTCAGCCTTTGCATTGTTATCATCATGTCTACATATTGACATGCGTATTCGTGGACTAAAACCGAATACAACCGCTGTGGGGCGCCAGGGGCAAGGGTGTTTCACTGGCACTTACGCAACACACGTTGCATAGCAGTACAGATGTAGCTCACCGAGGCAGCGATGACACTTTAAGCAAATTTTGGAAAGTTGTTGAGAGATGCATACAGTGTGCCGTGTATACATATGAAAGGGTCCAGGAGGCACGCACCAAGTAGGTTGGAAAGACAATTGCGTTTGTGATGAAGGCTTCTATAACGAAAATAAACTACAGCATTTAACTATAACGTGGTTCACAAGTGAGTCGCTAACCCAAGCGAGTCGCTAACGCCCCACCACTACATCTACATTAACACGTTATCACAGTTTTTTATCACAGTCAATAAACTATTGCGATACACTAAATTAATTGTCAGAATCGCTACTATCACTTGCACTATCTATCTCAACTACGCAGGTACGAGCGTTGTGTCCAGTCTGCTTGCAACGCCCGCACCGCCGCTCTCCTCGCACCCTCTTCGACGCACTCTCACCATCACCACGACTGCTACCCGCCTGTTTAGCTAATACTTCTTGTACTTCGCCTATAGTAAGAGTCTCTTCTGTCCGTACATATCGCCGCTTGCGGCTTTTACGCTTATTTGACTCGTTAAGAGCCGCTTAAAGCGTACCCATTTCCTCCATCATAAGCGTCATTTTATGTGCTATTTGCTGGGCCCCCTTACTTAGCTGCGCGATCTACTTAGTGAGTGAATTGGCAGAAGACCCACGGCGTTTTCTCACGCTCTCTTGAATAAGACTAATTTAAGACTTAACTTCGCGCGCGTTGCGTGGTGTCTGCGCCTGCCAGGCGGCTACCTATTGCGGTGATTGTACAGGTGTCTGCACCACCACATCAAGCTTAGATAGCACAGCCTGTGGGTCGTGTGGGACTAGACCAGCGCCTCTAAAGCCAGCTTGGATATTCTCCTTCGTGATAGACTGCTCAAAAGCAGTCTTAAAGGCTGGTAGGAAGGTCTCTTTGCTGATATAGTGGGTGCGGTTGCGTGCCAAGCCTGAAATAGCGTCGCCATACTTGCGCTTTAACGGCGAGAAGCAGGCGACGTTAAGGGGCTGCAATAGGTGAGACGAGTGCGCAGGCATGCAGAGAAGCACAATATTCTTCTCCTTGCAAAGATCTTAGAAATCGACAGAGCAGTAGCTCTTATAGCCATCAATAATGAGCAGTCGATACCCACCCACAGTAGAGCTCTTTGTATAGGTATCAAAGTGCTCTAACTAGGCAAGACCAAGGTAATTATTCGTCTAGCCATTAGGACTGACTTTAAGAACCTAGTTAGCAGGCAAATTCTTAAACTAGACGTTAATAAGCACCTTGCCCGCAAAGACAACGAAGGGTGGTATTTAGCGACCTAACGCGCCCACGCCTTAGATCACAGTAACCCACTTACGGTTGCCTAGCTGTATCCGCTTCTTTTTCCTATATCCTTCTAATGCTGTGATAACTAATTATAATAAAATCTTGCCTATTATAAAGCCAGTCTCGTCAAAGTTATAGATATCGTCGTCCACAATACCCCACTTCTGCCTTGTCGCCTGAACTAGGTCGAACCAGCGCTAGATAGCCACTGGATCCTCGCAGGCGGCTCGCTGGTGATCATAGGGACGGCTCTAGCGCGTACGGAGCTTAGGA